ACCACAAAAAACCCACCTCACATCGCCCAGTATCTGGGCAGAACGTACGCCTTTTAGGCAAGTGGGAAGCACGTTCTTCACTGTACCCTGGTGCATGACTTGGTCACCAAGTCATATTTGGCACACGTAGACGGACTACCGTAGTTCTGTCAACCATTAAGTCAGATTTCATCACCAGTCAGTTGACAGGCCCGGACAGTCGACTGGTGTACGAGAAAGGGAAGAGAGCGTGAGACATACATTGGGGAACCTCTCCGCACGGCCTATCAGGGCACTCCTCACTACAGCAAATCTGATGTACATGGCTTGGACAGCTGCCAACTGACTGAGTAACGTAGTCTGCGTGATCAGTACTGTGTGGGCTTGTGGGGTAACTGGCTGGTGAACTGAGGCTGATTTAATGACTGCTTCTCAATGTGGCTTTTATGGTACTCTTACGAACGTGTAGCTCGAGTCGTCCATTGCGTGAAAACTTGGTACATTGTGCGGGAACCCTGTTGTGTGTGACATTCGTAGACGGGCCGCTTAGCTTTGCCGGCCATTGCGCCTGAGCCCGCCTCCGGACGTCCTGGCTATGTCTTGACATCGTGCCCAAGTTGGTGGGGGAAGAGGCAGTAGCACAGATTATGCGCAAGTCTTCTACCACTACTGAATAGTTCACGCCGCCCTACGTCCACCACGTACCGGAGCATACTATAGACATCGTAGCATGCGACGGTCGAACTGTCAGGTACTAATGGTTATGGCGAATTTGTCTCCGCGGAGAGCGGGCATCGTCGTCATTAGACGAAATCTAATTCCCTGCACGGACAAGACAATCGCCTTAAGGCAAGGTCAGTCTCCCGCCGCTCTTTCTTTCGACGTACACCCCAGATGGAGCTGTATTCCGCTCCTACTTCATCCAGCCCTTACTCAGATAAACAGGTCTTACTGAGAGTCGCCAGGTCGTAACCGTAACCTCATCGGTAAGCTTACTTCTGTCATAGCTGACATTATGGATCACAACCGAACGGACAATGAGCTCGTAGCTCAGTGGTAGAGAGTTGGGCTTACTAACCTTCGATGACTAAAGAAGGCGGGTTTGAACCCCAGGTCTTCCAAACCCGGGGGTTGGTAAGGCTGAGTGACGACAGCTAGTAAGCCAGAAATAGTCATCCAGGCCTACTATTGTTGGAAGCGTCATGTAAGCATATATGAGAAGAAAAGGTGATCCCGGATCCATAACTGTATCGTACTGGTGTTTCAAAGGCAGACAAGTTTAGACCGTAGGAGATGAGTATCGCATTGTTTCTCATGTTATTTAAGGTTAATTATGACAATGGTAAAACGGCGTTAGTAAAACAGGTTCATCTTAATGCTCGACACGACAGTGAGTATGGGATGGGCTTGGGCCGTTAATCGTTATTGTCGGGCGGTACTTCGGCTTTCGCACCCACCGCCCGCATACGCACAGGAGTTATCTCTGTAGTCGCCGTGGTGGTGGAGGAAATAGGGCGACTGAATGTTGCTAATCTACATGCCTGTTGTCGGAGAGCGGCGTCTGGACGTCGGCGGCCATCGCTTGCATCCGCACTGACCTTGGCTGCCGCCCTGGGCTGCTTATCTTTTTTGCACACCTTCGACTGTCATTTTTTCTCGTCCACGCGGATAGTGGACGACGCAGCAGGCTCCACGACTGTGCCTTCGTTGAGTCCAGATTGTGGTGCGGCTTCGTGAGTGTCCGCCGTGGGTTCTGTCGTGTTCATATAATACATATGCAATATGTTATTACCGACAAAGATAAGGGAGACTGGAATGGCCACCTCTGCCTTATTAGCCGTCGTCAGCCAGTCATACCCAACCCAGAAGTGTGGAACACGCGAGGCTCGAACTCGAAAACGGAACGAGTGAGTTCCGCAAGAACGATCGGCGAGCGCCCCCTACCATTGTATATTCCCGATCGAGACCGACGGGCCAACGGGCTTGTAGCCCAGTGGTTAGAATCGTAGACTTCTAACTAACAGGTCGCGGATTCGAGCCTCTGGTGTTTCACCCTTCGAGGATGGGTATGGCTGGCTGACGACGGCTAATAAGCCAGAAATGGCCATACCAGTCTCCCTTTATCGGTAGTAACATACAGCATATATATAGACCCTTCTGAAAAGGACAACTGGTATTTTCTGGTTGCTTTGTCGTAATCAATATTGGAAAGATCCGAAATTTAAGCCCATATAGAATGATCACCAGGCGTGGTTTAACAGCTTTGCCTTATAAGCCACGTACCTAAGGCACGTAGTCTTCTATCGGGGTAAGTTTAAAGTCAGGCAGGAATGGAATCAACCGTGATTGGAAGGCGAATAACGGTCTACTACATTCTATTGAGAAACAACTGTCAGTATTTATGTCATTGTTTGAGGGATCAAGGCTTGGAGCTCCTAAGAGAGAAGGAAATGACCCCTGTTCCGACCAGCAACTAGGATAGAATGGGAGGCACTAGTCCCATGTGACGAAGCATTTTGTATCTCAAAAGATAGAAACGGCACCGGCGGCTCATTCGATAGTGTTTAACTTAAATGCTTGGTGGCTAGTTGGCCCACGCTTAAATTTCCGTTGTTGTGAACGCGTAATTAAGGTATAGCCGACTGATGATGGCGGCCAAACCGGAAACAAACGTCCTAACCCCCTTGTCCTTCCTGTAAACACTTGACGTTTACTGACCTTTCACCGTTCTGCAGCCACGCTACAATCCTATATAGGATTTCTAAATCGAAATAGAAGGCATCGCGCACTGGCATACATTGGAAGAGCACAATCCGCGTTACTTCGGCAAAAATAAAAGGGAAACGCGAATTCCATGCAAAGAAAAAGGTTATTCAATAGAAGTAAAAAAATAGTTCATGGTCGATTAATATATGACTTTTTGTGCGGCCAATGAAGGCGATGGAAAATACAAATTAGCAGTATCCCGCTCAAAGGTCTAAGCGCAAAGGACATCGAATGACGCGCTGAAAAAAGTTGATTATTAGATCACAGCTCTGGGACATGTCAAAATCTCCATACTCGTTGTTAGAAAAAAAGCCTGCTGTCAGAAATGACGTGGAATTTAATAACTCCCGAATATCTTGTCGACTTGTAGAATTTGCGCATATACCAAATCTTAACTAAGCGTCGTCATGTGCAGCGCAAGTCCAAGAATGTGTATCTGCGATTAGGTAAGCAACAACTCGCAAAATTAGAAACCGACTCCCGAATTTGTGCTGGTATTTTCTGCATGCAGAACCGTAGCCTCGTACTCAGGTGCTTTTTCTTGTTCTGGGATTTGTTTTTATGGGTATGGACCACTGCGGTCTGGGCAACATGACCACTTAAACAGACGAATGTAAGAAACAGAACGATACAGTGGGCACTGCAAAGGAGATGCAAAAAAACTGTAGGGAATTTAACTGTTTACCTGGGCAAAGAAAAGCCATTTAACGGAAAGACTGTCCGCCCAAAACTTG